TATTCTATTTGATGTTAATAAGTTAAGAAGGAATAAAAATAGATTTGAGCTTCTAAACACACATATAACAAGAGGTGAAATCACATACTATAAACATTATGCTTTTGTGGGAGCTTTTCCTCTATTCACTCTCTCCTATAAAACCCAATCTAGAAGTACATTTCGGTCATCAAATTCTCGAAATATCGGATCAAGATTCGTATAGCCAATCCTAAAAAAAAAAAGTTCTAATGATGATGTTGAAATTTTAGGAATATAATCTTTTCACAGCATCAATCAACCTCAAAAAAAGAAAAGAAAAAAAACTAAAAGAGAAGTACTAGTAGAATGATGGATCAAGCTAAATTTCGATGGTAGTTCTTTGGGGAACCCAAGACCAGCAGGTATAAAAAGTATCATTCGGGCTGTCAAGGAGTGGTGTTGACAAAATACAATAGTCTAGTAGGGGTGAAAACTGCGAATGAAGCCGAGCTTAGGTCAGTGCTGCACGGTGTAATGTTGGCGAGAAGTTTCAATATTCCAGTGGTGGTGGAAAGAGATTCGTAGAACGTAATAAAATGGATAAAAAAAGGAAGCTCAATTGCAATGATTTCTTAATGAGTTATTAAGAGAATTGTTAGATAGGTGTATAGATACGATTTGATCATTTGTACATATGTATAGAGAACGAAATATGGAAGCGGATGCTCTAGCAAAATAAGGAGTCACTGTTAAGGCTTTAATGATTGTGTAATATTTGATTTGACATTTCTGTTTTTGCAGATTTGAATTAAAATTGTATTGTTGTTGTATTGGCCAATTGGCATTCACGATGATGTAACTTGCAAAGGATAATGTAATAAAATTGTTATTGTTTCTTAGGAAAAAAAAAAAAAACATTAAAGCCTACTTTTTATGTGGTTGAAAAGACAATATCATAAAACTACTAAAACAAGGACGGTCCAATTTTGGTTACCCAAATCTAAATGAAAATCCTTTTTTTTTTAAATTATCAACTGGAAGCATACAATGTGCTCCCATGAGAAGTTACTATAAACACTCACACTTTGTATATCATTTACAAAAACGCTTTATATGTCATTTACTACGGACCACACAACACCCTCATTCGTGAATGATCGATACTCCTTAACTTAAAGCATTGTTCACCCTCATTCCTGAATGATAGATACAGCTCACCTTAAAGCATTATTAGATAAAATTGAACGTTTTCCATAAAAAGAGATTGAGAAAGTAGAGATTTTGCGAAGAGAGATAGAGAGATTGTTTTCATACTTTATAATTAAAATAGGAGATCTTAAAATAGAGATTTTAGAAAGAGAGAGATTGTTTCTATATTTGAATTTGAGAAATATAAGAATTTTTCTTTCTCTATTTTTTTGGTTCAAACTTTCTCAAATTAAGAGAGAGAGAGAAAGATATGCCTATATCCTAGGGGATTCCCTATCCAAGAGCATGATAACCTCTTTTACTGTATGCGCCCCCCCACTCTCTTTCTCTAGTTAGGGTTTTCATGTTATAGAAGTTCCAAAACCCTAAAGCCCCACTCTCTTTCTCTAGTTATTTTATGTTATAGAAGTTATAAAACCCTAAAGAGGGCACGCGTAAACCATTTGCTCATATAAACTATGTTAGCATCTACCTATCATTTCGTATCTCTCTATCTTTGCTACATAGGTCTTGCTTACTCTCAATGAGGTACATGTCTTTTGCTTTTTCTATAGTATCAATATTTGTGGCAATTTAGTTACTAGGGTTTTCTTCATATCGCATAATTCATTAGTTTTAATATGATTCTCTATTATACTTTACATCGCATGGGATGTTTTTGTTATGGATTGAAGCAAGTGAGAGTTTATGTTTATAAAAATGTAAAAATAAGTATTCATAGCCAAAATACTTTTTAATCTTTGCCAAAATGATAATATATATATATATATAGCAATGCATGCATGCCCCACTCTCTCTCTCTCTATCTTTCTTTGTTTTGATGTTATATAAGTTAGAAAACCCTAAAGCGGGGCATGCCCAAGCCATTTGCTCATATAAACTATATTAGCTTCTACTTATCTTTTGTTATCTTTCTTTCCCTCTTTGCTGCATAGGTCTTCCTTACTCTCAATCAGCAAAGTTTCATTTCCTTTTCTATGATATCAATATTTGTGGCAATTTAGTTATTAGTGTTTTCTCCATATCACACGATTCATTAGTTTTAGTGTGATTCTCTATTATACTTTTCATTGCATGGAATGTTTTAGTTATGGATTGAAGCAAGTGAGAGTCTATGCTTACAAAAATGTAAACATAAGTATTCATGGCCAAGATGTTTTTAAAAATCTTTGCCAAAATGATAAAAAACTATATATATATATATATATATATAACAGATAGATTTCTTATTTTTTGGGATTTTTATATTTTTTAAATTTTTGTTAAATAACCCCTTTCAATGCATGCATGCCCCTCCCCCCTCTCTCTCTCTCTTCTCTCTCTCTCTAGTTCGGGTTTTGATGTAATGGAAGTCAAAAAACACTAAAAGGGGGCACACCTAAGCCATTTGCTCATATAAACTATATTAGCTTCTACCTATCTTTGTTATATTTGTGGCAATTTAGTAATTAGTATTTCCTCCATATTGTATGATTCATTAGTTTTAGTGTGATTCTCTATTGTAATTTCCACTGTAAATTATGGATTGAAGCAAGTGATAGTATATGTTTACAAAAATGTAAAAATAAGTATTTATGGCCAAAATATTTTTTAATCTTTGTTAAAATGATAAATAATATATATATAAAAAAAACATATTAGAGATTGATTTCTTATTTTTTGGGATTTTTTATATTTTAAATTTTTTTAAATATCCCCAAGCTGGGACAAAATATTTTTCAATTTTTATCAAAACGATAGAAAACATAAAAAAAAAAAAATACAAATAATTTTTTTGTTTTTTTTGGATTTTTATATTTTTGTAGATTTCATTTAATATCCTCAAGTAGCTTCTCGATCACAAGAACCAAAAATAGTCATTTCTTATATAAAGTAGTAATAATAATAAAATAATGAAATAATTTGTTTGATTTTTTTCACTGTTTGCTGTAATATTTAATAAAACTGTTGATAAAACCATTGAACAATTACTTAATGGAAAATTGTTTCATGCAGATTGGACCACATTTCTATAATATGCGGTCCTAAGGTATAAAGCATCCATCTTAAATATGGATGCAAATAGTGGTCCATCTAAAAACAGTTGAAACTAATAGTCACAATGTTTTCTTCATAAAATTATAATTTTTATTTCTTAAAATTTATTTATTTTTTTATATTCGATCTCCATGTTAGATATTACATATTTTTAAAAATTCGGTCTGAAAATCCATCTCGAAAATAGATTTTTAAGAGGCAGACTCATTTCTATATGGACTCATAGAAACAATGTCTTTACTTTATTTATAATGATCCATGCATGCACCCATAAAACTACCAAAAATCAATAGAATTGGACCCC